TACGTCCCAGGAGAGGGAACGGCAAAGTTTCCTTCCTTTTCGGTTTGTAAAAAACTTACAAAACGGATTGGGAGAAATTGAGAGAAACACGACGTACAATCAATATTTACGCCAACAAAAACTATCAGAAAAAGTTCAAAGTCAGCTAAGGACCCCAGTGAGCCTTCATCAATACCCGGGTTATACCGGATCCTTTGTAGCTGCGAGTCGGTCTACATTTGAATCATGAAAAGAATATACAGAGATGCAATACAAATTCAGAAACACAGAGATAATTTCTATGGAAAGGGTGAGGCAATGAACATTATTGAAATCTGGCTAACTGTTGTTTTAATTCAAAGTAATCGGAGATAACGCAAGAGTAAGTTAATAGTCTTGACACAAACATTGTGCTGCCACTTCTGCACAAAAAATTGAATGAAATAGCACTCCAATACTCAGCTGGGCAGACGGCTCTCAATAGCAAATAGGATTCTGTTTTTCCGCGACAGCTGATTAATGGGAAAACAAAATATGAATGGCAACTTTTACACATTCACCACTCTGAAAAATTATAAAGATTCCCCTGTGCATTTATCATCAAAACTATGTGCTACTACGAATATAACTAATATGTGGTTGTTGTCAACTGTAGAATCCAAACCACACCAACAGAAATTTTTGGTAACAGAAACTTCATTCCGATTTTTTCAAATATTCATAACTGAACATTTTCAAGTTATTACAATCACAAGGCAACATGCCTGAATGAATTTCTTGTTGGCGGATTATTATCGAACCGGCTTATCTGTATCTGTAGAGTAGGGAAGGTGAGTGTAGGCCCACAGTACTTAGACCACATGAGACCCATTTTACATCCTCCTGAGTAGTTGTTTCAGGAAGCTGGACAGGTCACTAGGAGATATCTCCTTTATATCGGCAGGTGTAGGCCAAGACTCGCCGAACAGACACTCTCTTATTGACGATCACTCCGGGTACACTNTATATTAAGGAGGTGTTGACAGTGGCCAGTCAGAAATCCTACTGTTAAACGTAGGCTTTTCCTGGTCACCGCTAGATATTTCTTCGGCGCCAGCTTCCCAGGATCGCCCAGGTTGTTCTTGGCAAGATTACATCCTTTGATTCCATCCCATCTCTTTAGGGATGGAGCATAAGTGTGACGTTTGGCTAGTTGTCAAAGTCATCAGGCCGTAGGTGCCACTGTGCCCTAATTTCCTAGTCCAGCCACATCCTTGGCTGAAGAGTCGGCAATGCGATTACCTTTACTCCTCTCATCGAACCGGCTTACTTGATGTTGTAGCCCAACTTATGGACTGTTAGCAAATGATTGACTCATCGCATAAAACGTAAATATTGAAAATGTTTTGCTTTTGTAGATTTTACACCATTCTCAACAAGAAATCATCTTATTAAGACCACACTGTTTTGACAATTGTACGTTTTGGAATAGGGTGAAATAATAAAAAAAACATTTTCGAAAACAAAGTTTCATTGAAACAATCTAAGTCAATATATCACAATGAAAGAAATAAGTTTATAAGGCAGTTAATTCTATCCACAACAAAAACTCTTCTCAAACTCTAGAACTGCAACACTCTTCTTGACGAGCGTTTCACCAACCACGTTAGTGAAATTAATTTATTTTTTATTGTACCGTGAAAATACATAATAAATAATTACATTAAATAATCATTCGATTCCAAATCTGAGAAATCAAAAATCTCACTGCCTTTGATTTTTCAGTCGAAGAGTTAGAATAGATTTCAATTTATGCAGCAAAATCACCTTTATAAACTCCGACGCAGTATCCTCCCAAGTGTCAGGTATAAAATCATCAATCCCTTGATCTCCATACTTGCTAGGGGGATCCGTTATGGGTGGTTCTGGTATAGCTCTCGCTACGTCACCGGAATATGTATTGAGGCCGAAGAAATCGGTGGTTCCCTTCATCCAGACCTTTTCTTCTTCGGTAAATTCCGGAAGACGAGATTTTTGTCGTCCTTCCAATTTGCTACGAGCTGCTACACGGGCCTTCACGATTTCTGGGTAGTCGCCATGGAAGACGGGGTTGGCGTAGACGCCCATCTGGAAACATAATTTTAGTTGATGGAATCAAAAAATTTTCTGTTTGTGAATTTCATAGAAGAAATAAAATAAAAAGGGAAATTGGGAGTGTGAAAACTTGGCGTTTAACCAAAATTCTCACATGGGGTGAAAGAGAACTATTTCTAGACGAATAACAGAGCACATATATTTTTGTGTTATGATGTCAACGGTATGTTGATTATTTTTTCGTGAGGATAGTTCTTTGACTGAATTATTGGTTTTCATATTCAAGAAAGGGAAGGATTAAATGTTGGACTTACTTCAAAATGATATCTTCTTTCTGCAGCCTCTTTATCTTCAGGCTTGTCAGTTGCAGGTACCGTGGCCCCTGAGTCGATAACGATTCCAATTTTACCTGTGAATATGGTTTTTAATTAATTTCCCACGTGTAACATAATAAAAACCAAATAAGTGTTTAGAAATATGATAAATGTTTACTGATAATAAAGATATTGGCCGTATTCAAATGAAAATTCAATCTTTTCACGAAAAAGAAGTCTCAATTATAGGCATTTCCTTAAAGTTTTTTTCAAGGTGGAAAGCCTGAGCCCAAAACGAAACACCCGTGTCATAGTCTTATCAGTGGTGCTACACTCAACCATGAATGCATGGTTGGACTCAACTTACGTCAAAGATCGAGTAACTCAAGAAAGCTGTCCAAAAAGCAAAATAAATCAATAGCTGAATGGAAACCAACAGGTTCTTCAGATGAAATCATTACAAATAACGTGTTTGAATATCTATATTTCTTTGACATCGTACATTTATGGCTGAAATTTGGCAGGATCTTTCGATGTTCTTTACTTTAAAAAATATCTTCAATTTATAGTTAAAATTGACGTTCTGGATGTATCCAGTGGAAGGGGGATTGAATAAATGAAATTTATTTTTCAAAAATCAAACTTTATGAACTCAATAAGGGAACAACGAATTTTCACCAAAAAAGTATGTTATTTTCTACTAGTAGTTTTAGTCAAAAATATTTTCTAATTTCAAAATAGTTTGCCATTTCGAATATACAGTTTCAAGAAGAAATTCTGAAATTTGTGTTGAGTCTTCGAATCATTTCGATAAAATTGTTAAAATTGGTTCAGAATTGACGAATATAAAGAATTTTTTTAAGCGTCAGGATTTTGAAGTAATTTTTCTGCGGCTCCAAGTCGCTATTCCCACTCCTACGCCCCGCCCAGCCCCGCAGTGCCCCTAAATGTTTAATTCTCATATTTACCATTTACTTTTGCACACATTTTCGAGTAAAATTCAAGTGCCCCACTGGTTTTCGTGAAAATTTTAGCCCACTATATTTATAATTGAAGGGGTGACAAATTTTGGAAAACAAATATTACGGCCTATGATTGAGCTAGGGTATTCTGTTTTTTTTTTCAAATAAAAAAACCGTTTCAAAAATTATTTACTTTTATGACGCCATTTTGGAGATGAAAAAATGAAAAATCGTTCCGAAGGTTGTCAAATTTAGGAATAATATTCACTAACACGTTTATGAACACCCCCCACAGGATGACTCCGAGATGGCAATTTTAACAATTCACATTGCTCGTTATTTTCGAACATTCGCAATATCCCCCAAAAAATTACTTTCAGAAAAAAACTGTGTGATGTTCACGTGTATGATAACACAATTCATTCCGAACAGAACTTTCGAAAACACTTTGTATGAAAAGACTCACCCAATAGGCTGAAAGAACTTTAGGAAATTTAGAAAAGACCTCACCTCCTTGTTGCGGTCTGAATTCCTTATCGTAAATATGCCAACCATTGGCATGAGCTCTTATAAGATTGTGATTGCATACGTATTCCAAGAGCCCCTCCGATTGCACCTGAGGGGGGAAGTATCCGTAGCCATATCCAGCAGTACAGACCTGTTTGGGTTCGTTAATAGTGACCCAGTACTGGACGTCGTTCCCAAAGTTTTCGAAACACACTCTGGCATAGTCTCCGAACCAGTCGATGATGCTTTCGTTGAGGAAGCCGCCTTGGTCTAGGAGTACTTGGGGCAAATCCCAGTGGAAGATTGTCACCAGAGGTATTATGTTGTTGTGTTTCAGTTCTTTTATCAGGTTCTTGTAGTGCGCGATTCCTAGTGGATTAACTTTATCGGCAATACCTGTAAATATACTTTGCTAGCAATTTGAAACACAACATGAGATGTATCATGAACTCACAAGAGATAATACATATGACTTCTTGAAGTTCATGGGAAGAACAGTGAAACGATTGGCAGAATTTATTCTTGACAACAATTTTAGGTCGATAAAATTATATTCACGATCATTGGACATCAAAATTAACGGTTAGGATATATGCCGTCTTCTAATGAGATTATCAGCATTTTGTGAAATGATTTTTCCTTAGTGCGATAATTCCTTTTTTTTTAATTTGGCACGGTGAAACAGCTACTCCGGCAGGATTAGGGAGACATTGTTTCCAGAAGAAAATGTCGATAGAAAATGAAGTTTGAAGTGGAAGGCTTCCATTTCTACCTATTCAACCTATTCAAATTTTAGAGGAAATCGCGATTCTCTACAACCAAAGTATCGGTTGAGAGTTGGAATGATGAACTATATTTCATCTACAGTATTTTTTTATTGAATTTCAATCAGTGAGTTGAGCACGACAAAATTCTGACCAAACATGTATTCAGAAAGCTTTTCGCAGATTCAAAAGTACGGTAGAAGAAGTTTATTCCTCAAACTTTCGAAACAGATTGAAAACGATCTATATCCTGCATCAAAAACCTCATATATAAAAATAAAAGAACGTTGAAGAGAACTGGCATCACTGTGAAAGACGACCTTACCAATGAACAGATGAAAATTAATACGGCTCTCACCAAGGTAGGAAAAAATGGACGACCATGGAAGAGTATTCATCAAGCTCGATAATCAAGAGTAAATTTGTAAGATCAATTCTGAGGAAGATATATAATATGTATTATTTGCGAATTTGCTTTTTTTCCTATTTATAACAATCATATATTTTTTCCCAAGCGAGATCATGTTCCTTACATCATTAAATTGTTTCAATATCATCTGTGATACCAACATTCTGCAAACACCCTAACTGATATGTCACACTTGTGCAATTGAGCTTCAGCCAAGCTCCCTATTCAATCTTGAGTTTTTTTTATTTGTTTATTTATCAATAAGAAATTTCTCCTACTGTTTTTTGTGAATATAAAATATCCACGTTAATTATAACTCACATCTATTTTTATCACCTGGTTTTGGTTAAACACTATGAATATGAAAACATTGAAAATAGCTATTCTGAATGTTAGATCTTTGGTACCCTCTATGAATGATGTCAAACTGTTGATATATGATCAATATTTTGATCTAGTATTAATTTGCGAATCCTGGATTAGCAATCAGGCCTCCCCGTCAAGATATTAATGAATTTATGGAGGAATTTGAAAATACCTTTGGCTTAATTTCCCCAATTACTAATGAATTAATATGCATGGGGGATTTTAATATTAATATGTTAGATGTGAATTCTTCGAATGTGGAGAGGTTCTCATCTATTCTGGAATCATTCAATATATATCAAGTTGTGGATAGTCCAACTAGAATAACCGAAACAACATCTTCTCTTCTAGATGTAATAATTACTAGTACCAAAGAGGCGTTAGAGGGGGGGGGGATTAAATGACACGAGTGGAATTTCTGACCACATGCTTGTTTATTGCGAGATAAAAATACGCAGCGGGAAACAGGGACCTAAATTTCATACATACATGAAGAATTCTTTCAAAATGACCTTATTAATATACCATTCTTTAGAATATATGATCAAGATGATATTGACGCAAAAGTTTCTTATCTTGTGAACTTCCTGCTGGATTTATTTGACAGGCATGCACCTATATAACATCGAGAATAATGAAAAATAGGGCTCCTTGGTTAACTTATAATTGAAAAGAAAAATATGAAAACTCGAGATAATGCACTAAATAAATTCAAAAAGAACGCACTCTGAAGTACACCTTCAACTATACAAAGATATGCCCAACTATAAGGCGCATATCAACTATAAGGCGGTGAGACGGGAAAAAAAGGCGTATTTTGTTCAACAATTTAATGGGGTTGATTAAAAAGATATATGGACAATTATAGAAAAAAGCATTGTTGCCTAATAAATCCAATGACTTACCGGCAAATTTACAAAATACTGATATAATAAATGATAATTTGATAAACTCAATTCCATCATGCAACCCTTCCCCTGATCTTTTGAATTTTAATAGTATCAACTGCTTGACCAACTCAAAATTTACATTTGAGGAAGTTAAGGATCTTTTTGTGTATGAAACTATTTGTAATATCAAAACCAATGCTGCTGAATGCGACAATCTCAATATGACAATGATAAAACTCTGCTGTCCTCACATTATTCCATACATTACACACGAGTTAGGAATCACACGTTAAAAGGTAAGACTTCGTTAGTCCTTAGCTCGCACAAGTTCTCAACTTTTGAGAATTGTCGTTCGTATGGGGGCGACAGCTGATTATCGGAAAAACAGATTTTAAACAGATTTTTTTTTGTTGTTAATTGCTGTCTGTCAGGAAATATTATACCAGATGCGTGGAAAAGAGCAGTTGTGAGAGTTGTACCAAAAAAACCTAATCAAGTGGAAGGATTGAGTATTCTTCCAGCTCTATCAAAGATACTGAAACGAGCAATGGATACACAGTTACGGAATCATCTGAGTAAATACTCATTGTTACCAGTAACTCAATCTGGATTTAGGAAAGGATACAGCTGCACAACTGCTCTTCTACATGTCGTAGATGATGTATTTAAGGCTGAAGATCGAGGTTCATGTACGGCACTGGTATTGCTCGACTTTAGTAGGGCTTTTGATACCATAAACCACGACTTATTGCTAGTTATTCTCCATCACTTAGGGCTTTCAGATGGAGCGATATCACTATTGCGTGAATATCTCAGTGAAAGGCAACAGAAAGTCAACATCAATAGCAACTGCTCTCAATAACACTTTTGCCATTATTATTATTATTATATTAAATACAAAATGATACACTTCAGCCTTTGCGAAGTCAAAAAAGCACGAATAAGCAACTCAAAGAGCAAATGCGTGCTGATTTTTCTAATAGCCAAGGCAAACCGTTGCATGATTGACTTTGAATTTTCCTAAGGATTTGAGTAATTCCTCTTTGGATGTTAGCTTGAAGGTGTCAATCAGAAGTTTCGCGCTCAAAACCTCCGAAGACTATTTCGAAATTAGATAACATTTCAGCGATGAGAAGTTACTGTAGAGTCAGTCACTAAATTGTTTTCCGAAAGCTCAAAATTTATAGAAAACAAGCAAAGACACCGTCTAGGATAAAAAATTGAATAGACAGAGGGGTCATGTGACACATTATTTTAAAGCTCCTAAAGTAATACTTCACAACCCTAGAATATGAAGTCAATATCTTCAACTACTACAAAATGGCGGAACTTTTAATGAGGCGTCTCCTTCTACTGTGTAGAGACTTGAAGAGGAATAGGCCAGCCCGCTCGCCAGATTTGAGACCTTTGGACTTCTTCATGAGGCTATTTGAAGCAGAAGGTGTACGAAACTCAACTTGCTTCAATATTGGATATACGGCGGAGAATAAGAAATATTTGTAGAGATATTGACGATACTGTGTTCGAAAATGTTCGGCGTGAAATATCGGATAGGCTGTTCATATGTCAAAAATTTCAAGGCAACCAATTCGATCATCTTCTGAACTTACCTCAAGCTTATTACCTCATATTATGTAGTTTAATGTCAATGTATTCAGGATATTATTGAAAGTTCCGCCATTTTGTAGTAGTTGAAGATATTGACATTATATTCTAGGGTTGTGAAGCATTTGTCAGGAGCTTCAAAAGGATGTGTCACAAAACCCCCCTTTTCATTTAAATTTTTTTCCCAGATGGCACCCAGTTGACATCTTGAAAGTTTCTTCTGTCAATTTCACTTCAAAGTAAAGTATTCATGCATTAATTTCATTTTCCAAAATTTGAGTTGACCCGTTCAAAAAATTAACCTGGGGGGACATTGAAGAAATGCACTGTATAATGTATATTATGAAACGGGGGTGATTAATTGATTAGACATGGGTGGATTTTTCAAAACAACTCATTTGTGAGTCCAGCAGTCAGTAAAATTGCCTAGTACCATTCTCAGTTTTATTGCCTGCCTACTGACGTGGTTCTATCTTTAGGACCAAGTTAGGAGTCTGACTGTCTCCTTTATCAACTTTATAGTTCTAACTGATTTCTGGAGGATTTCAGCTTTGGGAATTGACTCTGACTTACTTCAGTTTTTCTAACAGGTATGGAGTAGCGCTGACTTTACGTGACCCTATATTTTATTGATTAACTGTTGGATTCCTGTGCTATGTCAATTTGCTTGTATTCTATAAATTTTCAGCTCTCAGAAAACAGTTTGGTGATGTTAATTAATACGACACTTTTGCCAGCACCCAATGTCAGGTGTCCCGGTACTAGAAATACTGACTACAGTAACTTTCCATCACTGTACTTGTGAATCATCGTTTGGAACCTTTTGTGCAGTAATGAATATTACTGCAGTTTTTCCCAACACCAAACACTACGGCACGTGTTTCGATCACCAAATGATCATTTTCAAGAGGAAGATCAAACATTTTGATCTCGGTGTTCGAAACACGAGTCGAAGTGTTTGGTTAGGTTAGGTTAGGTCTGAAGTGAGAGAGTCTATTCGACCCTCCACCGCAACCCTCAAGGGTTTATTGTGGCTCACACTCATTCACACTCTACCAAATAAACCCAGCTTCTCAACAAAGCCGATTAGTTTGTATTGTGATTGGTCTTTCAGGTCAGATGATAAGAGTACGGCTCTGCCGAACTCTTAAAACTTGATTCGGTTCCAAGTGGGTCAGGCACAAATTATATGCTCTGCTGCTTCCACATTTTCCAAATGGAGGCGACACACACTGTCTTCCGACAATCCGAGTCTCTGCATATGATGATTCAAATGACATCAATCCTCGAAGATTCTGCCAGGAGTCCATGAATCTTCTTGCCATCCAGGTGTTCAATGTTTGTTTGGCAAAGCCTAAAGCGATGCCAATGACAGGTTCTGGTCCGATGAAGCTACTTGCAGCAGCCTTCTTTGCAAGAGAATCAGCAGCCTCATTGCGTTCCAGGCCAGTATGGCCAGGAAAGTTTTTGGTGTTGGAAAAAACTCCAGTAATTTCCGTCACTAAATTACTTAAGTGATTATTGAATAGCCCGAGATATGAATGAACTTAATCGACCAAGTATGATTTGATAACTAGGAGGCTTCTGCTGAATTAGCAGCTTCAGAGACATTTAACTTCAAACGAGTTAGTTCATTTTTATATTGCAGGTTTGTATATACGTTTTTCAATAATAAACATTCCTTCTTACCATTGGGTAGTATTCTGTTCCAAGACAAAGAAAATCTGTAATGATTGACGCCAACTGCTTTTAGCAGAGCAACGTCCTCTTTGTATTTGTGATACGAATCAGATGCTACATCTCCATTCAATCCACCCAANCCTATTTTTGTGTTTTCAATCCCATCGAGTTGATTTGGGGAAAATTGAAACAAAGCATCAGGCGTAAAAATATTTTTCCAAAATTTGATAAGAAGGTAATAGAGCTAGTTAAAGAGGAAGTATCTAATATCACCGAAGAAGTCTGGCAGAAAAGGATTAAAAAAGTAATTTTAGTTGAAAAAGACTATATGGAGATTGGACACTTCCATGTTAATGGTGGAAATGAATTCACTATCGATTTAAATGACGACAGTGACGGTGAAACAGATAATATGGAAGAGAAATCATCAGAAACTTTGACTGACAGTACTCTTTGATCATTCCCATATTGATTTCAATTTAAGAGCCACCGGTGGCTCTAATATAGTTATTGTGATTCTTATATAATCAGAAATGATTATTGAATAACAAAATTAGTTAGCTCCCTAACTATATTATTGAAGGGGAACTGTTGGAAGGTAGGTTGCACTATATCGTTTACTTGAACTATACTCAATAACAAAAATGTGCAGTCGATACTGAATTAATGAATTCATTTTCAACTTACCATATGTTCAATGCTACCACAAATATCAGCAATATTGTGATAGAACTCATTCTCATTGATTGTGCGGTTTTTGCCGTTTTTTATCTTCTTTTATGTATATTTCAGGGTACTTCAGTTTCATCTCTCAAACATTCCAGATTTCAGATAGATATATTTCAAGAAGCGACTTATCTTGAAAATTTTGCCATAACATTTCTTGGTGTTTTTCAATTTGCCGCTGTAATTTGATAACGCATCGAGTGCTACCTACAATAACGTCAGTATCTATCTACTTCAACTATAAATATACTGATGCAAACAATGGAACGATACTTCAGTTTCATTTCTCAAACATTCCAGATTTCTGATAAATATATTTCAAGGAGCGACATACCTTGAACAGTTGGCCAGAACATTTCGTGGTGTTTTTGAATTTGCTTCTGTAATTATAGATATATTGATGCAAACAATGGAACGATTTTTCAAAAATACCATTTCAGTTTCTGCAAATTGAATATTTTCAAATCTTTTCAAATGCCATTCAGTGGTTTAATTCAAGTTTCGTGACAGACCATTTTAAACAACTAGTTACAATATTTTTTATCAACCCCAAACTTCTGGTTTCCAACTTCAACACTGACGAAATTCAATACAATCTTTGCACCCCTATTCTTCCCTCTTGAGGGTGGAAATTCCTGATTCCCTTTCTTGGTGCTTATTTACGCTATACAAAGAACCTAACTGCATATTAAAGATTCGAGGTTCAGTATCTACGACTGATAGCTCTCAGGGAGCAAGAAATTTTCCAACTTACTCAATACCAAAATTAGACAAAACATCTGTAAACTGTAGCGTACATGTTATTCTGTATTTATGTAAAGTTTCATTTAAATCCGTTCAGTTGTTTTGGCGCCATACATACATCCAACCTCACAAACTTTAACATTTATAATATCAGTATAGATGCGATTCCCAGTAAATTTATTGCCATGAAACTTACTTCATCCTCACGTGAAGGAACTATGAGAGCTTACAACTTACAACTTTATGATGTGAAAACAATCTGTGAACAGCCTTACGAAGAAAAACCAACGTTTGGAATAGCAGAAAATATAGGGTAGCATTGTGTTTTGAATTTTTGACCCTAGAATCAAAAATGGATTTGAAGGGGGGAGAAAGTTTCGACATTCACAATATTACTTATTGAAATATTCAATTCAGAACATTGAAATCAATTTCTGATACCATTAATTATATTATCCTAACTGATGTATTAGCTACCAAATATTAATATTGCTTTATGAAGTCTTAAGTAAGAAAGAATAATTGTATCCAAAGAGAGAGAAGTTCCACAGCCGGAGATAACTGTGTCGAAGCTATTTTCTGGATTGTTTGGCAGTGGTCTGTAGGTTTTATGTCTGACATTTCGCCTATTACTGCGGTATGCATTATCAAGAGACATGAGGTAACGGTCGAGTTGCTTGAGTTGTTCCCGATGCAGAAAATGCAATGCAGAACCTCGTCTCCGATTTTATATCACTGGTGGCATGACTTCGTTTCTCTAAATTGAATCAATTGTGTACAGATGACTACAGGTAGCCAGATTTCACTAATGTTCATTGCCTTTTCCTTTCTATTGAAATTATTACCGTGTTTCTGAATTTTTTTTGCCTCTCTAAATATTTTTGTATAAGGAGATAAAGTGTTTGCCTTCTTTAAAAGCATGTTTGGCTACAGCTCATTTGTTGGTTTGCCCGAGACGACCATTTTTCTTGTGTTCCAATGTAGACCGACCCGCAGCTACAAAGGATCCGGTATACCCCGGATATACTAATTGCTCTCTAGGGTCCTTAGCTGACCTCAGGATCTTTCTGATAGTTTTCGTTGGCCTGTCTGGTCTGTAACATTTCCAACAAAGGGGGAAAAGCTTTTTCTTCAAAGAGTCTAGCTGGGGTTACTCTGGCGTATGAGCCGCTCGAATTCTACTGCTGGACCCATTCCCTTTGAAGGCTGTCAGTAAACCCTGAAAACAGGTGGGATCTTTTCTCGAAACTCAAATACAACGGAGTATCCAATAACTACCCATATCGAGAGATGAGTGATCATTGATTACTAGAAACATGTGCTCAGAGAAGACACAACGAGCCAAGAATTCATTTGTCTGCCTAAGATTCCTGTTACATTGTGACGAACCGATATATACGATATTCAAAGAATATCGTCTTACTCTGATGGTCGAGGAGGACTACATAAGGCTTATTAGCTTGTATGAGACTGAGAATGAGAAATAAATATGACCAATGAATTCGGCACTTCTCATTCAACACAACGGATTCAATGTCCCGCAATACCAAGATAAGAAGAATTGGGTCCAAATACATCAGAACCTGCTTCAGATCCGCAGCTCCACGGAAACCAGGCTACCAAACGCGGACTGCGATTCCAAGAGTTGCATTTACCGGATACCCTGTGAGTGCGGCAGCAAATCGGGAATAGCAGAGCATGTTTAAACTCATCAACATAACATCAAGTGGTCTTTCATAGATTTCGAATCATAGTGGAATCATATTAGACAATGGAAGTCCGAACTACTGAAATTTACCATGAAACATTGTGAACCACTTCCAAACAAACTCAGGAACTATACTCATACATTTTATTTCTCGAACTAGGAGGAAAAATACCCCACTCATACCCCAGTCATACATTTTTCAGTAATACACCTTGTTTTGTAAACCTTTTATAGAAGTCTGCTGTCTTTCTAGGCTTCCTAGGCTTCATTGAAGTCCATTTGGTAAAGTCCATATTTTTTACTGAAAAAAATGCCAATGATGTGTAGACTGAAGGCAAAGTGGTTTCTGTAGCATCTCAACCAGACATCAAAAAAGCTTGTTGTTTCCTTTGGAAATGTGATACCTAGAGGTATCTGAATTCAGTTATCAAGATTTTGATTACCAACTATTTCAAAATGGGATTGACAATGAAAGTATTATTCATCATACGTCAACTTGGTTCTAGTGTGTGGTCAGAAGGATTTGTACGAGTACTGGATAAATATTGTATTTAGTGTTTTATGTTTCTGAGCCTCAATGTCTACTTTTATGCTTTGAGTAACTAAGTAACTGGGACACCCATGTGCAACTTCAAAGCCATCGATGGATGTCTCGTATTCACTCAGTTACATATAAGAAAATGAATATTCATCTCTCCCGTTTGTTTGAAAGTGGTTGATGATTTTCCACGGTGAATTTTAGTAGTTCGGACTTCCATTGTCTAATATGATTCTAATACGATTCGAAATCCATTGAAGAACAAATAAAAGTAATATGAATGAAATTAATTAATTAATTTTTGTCTTGAAAGAAAGATTGCTAGCTATTTACAGCTCTATCTCGTGAATATAACACCAAGCAGGAAAAAACATTTCATGTACCAATACTTCAACTGTTTTACAAAAACGCGTTTTTTTAAAACTGATTAGTGAAAATCTCAGAATGAAGTGTTTCTTGAATACGTTATGGATTTTCATCAAGTATCGGCCGATTCCATCACATATCTGATAATAGATGGAATGCGTTATTATATTATTTGCATGAGATTTAATGATGGTGATAAGAATGATGAGATTTAAGGATTAATTGATTAAATTGTAAAGTATGTCTCATTTTGACACAGTTATTTAAAATCCTTTTGTTACCTATTGAAAGAGGTTCTTTGGTCCAAAGATCCTTAAGTTTTGAAAATAATTTATTTGTGGTTAAAATGGTTCTGAACGCTATTTTGACATTCAAATTTTTCAAGGTTCTGCATAACTTGGGTGTCATATCACTGATGTATGGTAAAGAGTTGAAGATTATAGGAATTGGAGGTGGATTAGTCCCAATTGTGATATTATTTGATTGTAATAGATTTCTATCCAACTGGTTGTTATTATCAAGTTGAACGTCAATGGATGACGTATTAAATAAAATCCTCTTGAGTAAAGGATCTGGCTACGAGTAGTTAGTAAAAAATTGTTTCACCTCATGGTTGTGAGGGGTGGAAAACGCAACCCCTAAAATTTATTTCCAATGTAACTTTTTGTCTTATTATTTGTTTTCCATTGAAAATGGTAGCCTATTTCATTCTAAACAAAAAATGTCTCATGAGTTTTTGCCCAAAATAAACCAGTTCGCAGCAAAAAATTATTTTACGAACAACTACAGAGATACATCGTCATAAATGCGAACTAGATTTATTGTTATTTTGTATTTAGTACCTGCATTAAACGATTAAAGGGTAATAAACAAAACTAATTTATTTACTTCATTTTTTTGGTATATACCATAAATTGTTCGCCGAATCACATCTTTTGTAACACCATCAACGTTTGCGAATTTTTTATTCCTTTGTTTTCGTTTCATTGCATGGTCAATGATATCCCCTATTTTAATGACTCGAAGAACTGTCGAACGAGATAGTTTAGTTAACTCGCATATTCTATTCACAATAGCATTTTGTGATGTGTGACAGTGTTTCTGCTTCAAACATTCATGAATATTTAAAATTACTCGCTGAACTTGAACATGTAAATCCTTATTTTCAAATTTCGGATCCCTGTCGATTGACACAGATTCCTTTCACGTAATGTTATCATTTGTTACAAAAGGTCTCCAGAAAACCATATTGATGAAAGTACCCAAAAACACTAAGATTTTCATAAAAATCGGTTTAAACGATGAGATTGGGACCTTTGGTGTAAAAGTTGGAAACTTTTTCTAGAGATCAATTACCCTAACACCAAACTGATATTTTTGCACTCGACGCGCGTTTCACTAACAAGGTTAGCATTTTCAGGAGAAGCAAATTGATACTGAATCTGAAGACAAGGGTTGGCTGTTTATATACCAAAAGTTTCTTGGTCCGATGTGGACTTTGTTTGTTAAATGATGATTATTCTAATTGATTTTTCGGTAATTAAATAGTAGAACCAATACCTGCAAATTAATTTGTCCGCTTTTTAATCTATTGTTGACAAATTAATTTCCAGGTAGTGGTTCCACTAGTTAATTACCGAAAAATCAATTAGGATAATCACCATTTAACAAACAAAATCCACATCGGACCAAAAAATTTTAGGTATATAAACAAGGTTAGCATCTTCTCCTGAAGATGCTAACCCTGCTAGCGAAACGCGCGTTGAGTGCAAAAATATCAGTTTGGTGTTAGGGTAATTGATCTCTAGAAAAAGTTTCCAAAAATCGGTTTGCAAAACCACTCGCTACCTCACCTGACCCCACGAACACACGGCACTGATAAAGAAATATTGTGAAACGGACAAAAAATTTGTATTCAGCCAGTCTAGCTAGCCGAGCCGTTATTCCTCAACTACATTTGATAGCACGTTTACTATCTGGGCGACTAGGGGCCACAGGCAAGAAATGTTCATGACTGTACCAGGGACGCTTTGAACATAAAAGCACTGGAAGTATATACATTTCCCATTTGCCGTGCAGTGATTATGAACACCCTTCGTAGTGCTCTTATTTTTTTTGCTGTTCCAATTGGGAATAGATAGACTATACTAGAATGATTTGAATTTCCAATTCGGAATATTACATACTTGACCAGATATCCATTGGCAACTTTAAAACTTGAGAATTTATAAATGAAAAAAAATTGTCAAAATAACTTCTCGAAAATATACATTTCATGAAGTTACCTTCCACAGAGTTGAAAACACAATAAAGTTTGTATCACACTTTATGCTATTTTATTATCTCTATTTGGATTTTGTAGAAAAACAATTTAGTTTCAACTTATTGAAAAAAAATTGTCGGCGGTGAAAGTAAAGCATCGTCAAAACCAAGATGTTTTATGCTGTTTGAATCAAGTTTTATTTTGCAACGGTGACATACAATGGAAATCTCAGTATTGTGATGCCTGAGGATGCTATCGTATAGAAAAACACGTGTCGCGGTTTTGTGAACTTTCAAGTGGAAATCTGTCATCAAAGTGTGTTTTTGGATACCATTCTAGTAGGCCATGATGAACCTCTTAGTTTCCGACTTCAGCCTACTCGACCAGTGGAAAGCAATGGCCAGGGACTTTGTTGAGCCAAGGTTTTCACTGTTGCTAAAGAAAACTCTATGCATTGGCTTATCCTTATGTTGCCGCAGGAGTGTAGTGATCTCTGTGGTTTTTATGTGGGTATTTTGCTGATTTGGTTTCAACTCGGTAACAGAGTTGTGATCAACTCGTTTAATATCAAAAACTTAACCGAATTTATCAGTCGCTGAAGCACCGTATAGAAGTAAACACAAGTAAACTCACTCCTGGTCAACGTCTTAGATGTATTGGGTCAAGATTTTATTTTTTACTGGTATGTGGCGGGGCAGGTGGGTTAATTTAACCTTCATCCTTTGAAAGTAAGTTGAAAATGAATGAGAATCAGTAAGTTTGGGTGCTAGTATATATTGATTCTCCTTAACCAAGTTGTAAAGTTGTTCAAGATGTTCGTTGTAGATTCATCAAATTTCAAAAAGTCATCGGAAAAATTGTTTCTACTTCATTTCAGCAGATGAGGAGTATCAAAAAAGTAAAATAATTTTTTCTCATCATTAAAGAAATATGACAGCTCTACAGTCACTTTGACATCTTTTCTGGCATAAAAATTAAAACCTGAATCTGAAATGATACCCCTAACTCTAAATCCAATTTTTGATAATTGCCTAACAGCTTCAATCAGAATACTTTTTATATCCAGTATATCCAGGATGAATTGGTAAAAAAGTATGCCACAGTAGGCTCCAAAAAAGGTTATTTGAATATAAATTTGATACTTTGCTTTTGCAGATATTTCAGTGGAACTAATTGTTTCCTACAGATACATATCTACTAGCCAAATCAAAATATGTGGTGCAACATTTATTTTCCTTTGTGGATTTCCAATGGAACTCCGATTGTTTGCCATTTTATATCATTACTTTGAGGCATATACTATGCGTGAAGTTCAATTTCATCAAATTAATTTCATAAAAAGAAGTCTGCATATATTTGGTCTATAACAATTTATTTTATGATTTTCGTTATATGTTCATTCCTTTAATGTTACATAATGAATACTAGAAAAACATACCTTTTTTCGTCAATTGGTAATCGACAAAATTAATGTCGACATCACCCTGCAAATTACAGCAACTCACAGCTCGACAGTTGTTCATTTTGAAACTAGACACCAATTTTTCACAAATACAAAACCACCACTTACAACGACTCACTCTGTAATAATATTCCATACCTCAACATGGCTCGCTTGGTAAACCCATCAGCTTCAGTTGGTTGCTCAGTAGGTGGTCTGAGCATAAAATTCGAGGTGGGGAATCTTGACCCAAATATGGCGGAGAGTGAACTTACTTGTGTTTACGTCTATTATACGGTGCCTGAAGAAAAATGCTCTACTTTCTCATAGTCGCGGGTCAAACAAAATGGGATCCAAACTACTGATGACTTTATAGGCTCCATTCCGTACCATGTAGTCATATAGACTATCCATATCATTATTATTGTTAGATTAGATTGTCGGGGAGCTAGCCCATGGCCTGATTCCCAGCGACCTTTTCAGATCTATTGTGATGCTCCTTGGTTGCTAGAGCTCATTGTCTAGCTTAATCTCTTTGATGAGACTCCAAAGCCTTGACACTGACCCCTTCATAGTACTATTATTTGTTGTTGACGTTGTTATTTTCGGGAATTTACATGTCGAGCCTAAAATATGTTCGAACTCAAATACGCAGGAAATAAAATAATAAATTACTCATGAACAATACTCAAATATTTTATTTCTCAAAAGTTAACTACACAGAAAAAATACCTTAGTCAACACATTTATCAGTAATACACCTTGTTGTGCAAACCTTCTTGTAGAAATCTGCTGACTTTTTAGGCTTCCTCGTCCTTTTCGGGTCATCGAAGTCGACTTGGTAGAGTCCATATTTTTGACTGAAAAAAATGTCATCTTGTTGTGCAAACCTTCTTGTAGAAATCTGCTGATTTTTTAGGCTTCCTCGTCCTTTTCGGGTCATCGAAGTCGACTTGGTAGAGTCCATATTTTTGACTGAAAAAAATGTCAATGATATCTAGAGTGATAGCAAAGGGGCTTCTATGGCATCTATGCCAAATATTAAAAGGGCTTGTTTTTTCCTTAAAAAAATACCTGAAGGCAACTGAATTCAGTTTAAAATAAGCCTTGACTACTTTTTCAAAATGAGATTGAAAATGAATTTTTTTCCGAAAAAAAAAGTTTTTCCGACAGAAATTAGGAAGTGAATTATACTGATATTATTCATTATACGTCAACTTGGTCATAGTATGTGGTCGTCAGTGTTTGTACTGGATGAATATTGTATACAGTGTTTCATGGTTTAGAACCACAATGTTCACTTTTATGCTTTGAGTAACTTAATGAACTGGGCCATCCACGCGCAATGGATGCCTCATATTCAATCGGTTTTATTTGGTGGAAAGGTTTAATGTATATCCACACTTCTAGTTTTGTTCATTTGTTTATATTCCTCATTATGTAAATCCTCTCTTTGACGCAAATAAATTATTATTGTATTCCCAACTAGCAATTTCGTATTTTATAATAGTTGCGGGAACGTTTCGGAGAAACAAATTATAAAACTACATTTTTCGCAGAAATGTTTTCAATGTGTTCATGAAACTGCTATAAATAGGAAACAGGCACCGTTTTATAAAACATTATAGTTATTATCAATATTTTGTAAGGCCTTTTACAAACACTACAAAACAGTTTTATAAACATTTTGGTAGTTACTATGAAATTTGTTGTACACTCTTAAAAAGTAGGTTTGTAAAGACTTGCCTTGCTGCACTTTTGCAGCATATTCAAGCGATACCTATAAAACAATCGGAAGACAGTTTTATTAGAGTTTTTTAGTAGTTCCAAGTAGGCGTTATAAAATATAATACAGCCGAAAACGATAACAAGTGCTACTCACAATGACCTCAGTATCTA